TAATGTGTAAATCACAAAAAAGAGCACACATTAGGGGTGCAAAATCCAAAGCTTTCGCAACAACAGGTCAGAGAAAGTGCATTGTGGATTCAGCATATAGAGAGATTACCTCCCCTTCAGGTTCACTCGCAACAGGGTCTGTTATCTGTAAAGCCATCGCACTTTTTGCATTTGCAGATTTTGTCTGCTTCCCTTTAACTGAAGAATCATTCATCTGTTCACCAAATAAACCAGTAAGACTAAATTTGCTAAAAGGAGTAAGAAAATTGATTTTTGCGAAAACAAAAGCTGAACCTTTTTCCACGAGTCGTCAGCAAAAATGGAAACTTCGTATGAAGTCTTTGTGCATGGTTCTCTCGCAATGTCCTCAAAACTCTGAAACCCAGAACAAATTCAAACTTTAAACACCTCAAACAACGCAGAAAAGAGAGCAATATGAGATGGTACTGCAGGATTTGATGAAGTTCATGAAGCAATTACCTTAAACAGAGAATCATGACCAATCTCAGACTCTTCACGAAGTGAACTGGGATCAAAATGAACTTCCCTCTCAGGAAAATTATTTTCTTCACGAGCAGTAATGCCAGTTTCTCTGGCATCTCTCTCACCTTCACTATCACTGTCACCATAGTAATTGTCTGATGTCGCTTTCTTTTTGGGTACAAGTTCCTGCTTTTTTTGAGCTCCAAAAACTCTCCTACCACTCAAAATATTTGTTCCTTGAGTTTTTGGCTCGTTCTTCTCTTCGAATTCCTTCAATGATGACTCATACTCTTTTAGAGCAAGCTTTGCTTCTTCATCAGCGGCTGCTTTCCTTCTTTTCAATCCACGGACCTGTGAAATGACAGTGTTTCAAGATGGTACATAAACAATCTGAGATGCATAACCATAAATGAAATTCCAAACGTCAAAAAATTAAGAGCAAGTAGTGGTGCAAAGGAAAGATTAATGAAATTACCATGAAAGGTAAAGAAAGCACTCCTGACGCTGGCAATTCTTCATCCCCATCTAAGACTTCAACAGTCCTGTCCTTTGCTTTCTTCAACAGTTTCACTGCAGCGTCCTGATCTGATCCATCAGAAGTCTCATCAAGGTCATCATCATCACTGCTTTCTTCACTACTACTACTCTCTTTCATGTTATTTGCTTTTCTTGTCAAAAGGGCATGTTGATTCAGTTGTTCAGTAATAGCAGCTCGAGTTCCATCGTCTTGCACATCCAAGCCACGTTGTAAGATGCGCTTTGCCCACTTGGAGCTGTTCTTGTGCTTCAGCGTCATGCGTTCCTACATAAAATTTAGTCTCCAAAGAGACAAACTCAATCAGTAAATAACCTGAAAAGCAGAAAAGACTCCTAGGTAAGTTCACGCAAGTAATGAAAGAAATT